ACATTTATTTTTTGACATTTGACTTTTTTTTATATCTATTTAAGGATACTGATGATCTTGTATATGTTTTTTTACAATTATTTAGTAAAGGGACAAAAATTTTGCCAATGAAAGCCACAAATAAGATTGAACAGAGTTATAATTTCGGATACAACTTCCTTGTTTCCTCTTTTAATAGCCTATAGCAAAAAAACTTGGATAATTTTTTTTTTTAATTTTTACATGTTCCTGGTATCTTACCTTATATGACATTTTTCTCTGGAGCGCGAGTTCTGGCGCACCCTGTATATTTTCTTAATTTTACCATTTATAGGTCACTTTTTCAACTCGCTGGGACATCCTGTATTTTGAAATATTTTTTTAAATCACCGAAATATTTAGTAAAATATTTTTTTTCCGCAATCACAAAGAACAATATTAATTTTTTAAGTATTGATACAGTAAATGACACTATTTTTTTGTATTTTTTAAGCATTTTGTATGTTTTTTAGCCAGAAACTCATTATTTTGCCAATTTTTCTTAAAAATAAGTCAAAAAATCACTAAATTTGTTAAGGAAATAGTTTTTTTAATAAGATTTCACTTAACACGGTCAAAAAATCGATAAACCATGTCGCAAAGTTTATTATTTTCATCTTTTTGGAGCATTTAGTACTCTTTTAGACAGAAACAGAACTATCTTGCAAAATTTCCTTAAAAACAACTAAAAATTTACCAAATTGGACCAAAACTAGTGTGGTTTTTACATTTTTTGAGTGTTTAAGCACGTAAAATACAAGTCTTGTTAAAACTGACTGAAAAATTACTAAATTAGATTGAAATTGATATGTATTATTTCTAGTTTTTTTCGCTCGATTGAGTTTTTTTAAACCACAGACTTATTTATTCTGCAAAATCTTGTCAAAGCGTACCTAAAAATTACAAAAAATAAATCGAAATTGATGCTATTTTGTTTGCTTCATTCGATTTAGCTCGTTTTTGAGTAAAATTTTGTCAAAAAATAAGCCAAAAAACTCAAAATTTCTCCTTTTTCAAGTCTTTAAGCACGTTTTGAACTAAAAGATTTCAATATGACAAGCCAAAAAACAACAAATCCAGTCATTTTTTGCTTTTCTCAAGTGTGTAGCATTTTTTTTTTCAGGTAAATATTTCGCAAAATTTCTTTAAAAACAATCTCAAAATTTACACAATTTACACTATTTCAAAAATAGTGTTATTATCGCCTTTTTTGAATGTTTAAACACAATTCTGAGCAGAAATTCAGGATTTATCTATAAAAAAGATTAAATTATAATTTTGTTTTCTGCTGAAAATATTTATTTTTGGGACACGCTGTATAGTTGAAAATAATTTTAGGCGATAGACTAGATTAGTATCTATCAATGTCCTACATATTTTTTTTTTAATTTTACTATTTAAACGTCACTAATGGACTTTTTCAACTCGCTGTATGTTTAAGTAAAATTTCTCTGGGGGCTAAAAAATTAACAAGAAAACTTAAAATTTCAGTACCAACATTGTTTTTAATTGGTAAGTTTGTGCATTCATTGTGGCCGCCGTCGCCGTGGATGTGTTCGCCGTTTCGCGAACTCCTCGACTGCGAATGTGGCACGAATTTAGCAAGTGGTGCACACGGCACACCGTCGGTCCAAACGAATATTTCTTAATATCAACGTGTGAATCGTATTCACGTTTAACTTGATCTACTTTATATCTGGTGTACCCAAACAAGGCTCGGGGCTCGAATTGCACCGAGACTGAGTGCTTTTCGACGCCGCCGATGGGTGTTTTAGCACCTGGAGGACCTCGTCGAGACATTGTTACTGACCTTGCGAATTACTACCTGTTGCGCTCGCTATTTCTTCCAATGTCAAGGAACGACGTCGGGAATTGTGCCGCAGCCCAGACTTATTTCGGATTTCAGCCCGTAAATAGCTCGAGAAAAATATTTATTTACCGATTAGGGGAATTTTTGACTGGGTGGGTTAAACCTTGACCGAGTTGATGGCGAATTTCGTTACATTTTGCTTTTTTTGGGCAATGTATGGCTTCATAGATTTTAATTGTCGAATTACTAATAGTCTTGGCCTCAAAAACGCGATGTTTGAATGTTTGCAAAATGATTCTATTAGAAATACCTCGTCACATATTTTTGAATAGTTTATCTCTTCACTTCGAATGGTTAGTCATGAGTTTGTATTTTGCAAACTGCGAATATTGTTCATTAATGGTTTTCGAAGAAAAACACTTACTAACGACTTGACGTTGTTTGCGATGCGTATTTTGCTTGTTTGAAACATCAAATGTTTACAGAGTCGATTTTTTTATTTTTTCGGTCAAGAAAAAATATCAGATTTTTAGAGAATAACAAAAAAAAAATTAATAACGAAACGAAAGCTTTTTTGTTTTTTTTTCTCAAATTTATTTGATATTCTAAGATAAATTATTGAAAGTTGTGTGGTGAGTATAGTTATTATTATTCAATGTTCAATTTTCAAAAAAATTTCAGTAATTCTAAATATAAATACTCTAGTAATTCACAAATAATTCTACCGAAATTTTAGTAATTGTAATAATCTATCTTAACTATGTTGTTTTCAGATTAATTCCTATGATTCCAAATTCCAACTTAATTTTCGTAATTCCAAAATAATTCCTGTAATTTCAAATTAATTCCGATAGTTCTACGAAATTCAACGTATTCTTTTAAATTATCTCTGCTAATACCAAAAAAAAAAAATCTAACAGTTCTAAAAAGCATTCCTAAAATTACAAATTAATTCCGATAGTTCTAAGAAATTTAATGTAATTTAAAAAAATATCTCCGATAATTTCAAAAAAAAATCCAGCAATTTCAAAAATAATTCTAATAATTTTAGAGAAATTCTAGTAATTTACAAATAGCTCAAGTAATTCCATAAAAATTCCACCGAAATTCTAACAATCTATCTTAATTCCATTATTTTCAGATTAATTTCTACAATTCCAAATTCCAACTTAATTTTCGTAATTCCAAAATAATTCTTGTAATTTCAAATTAATTCCGATAGTTCTAAGAAATTCAACGTATTCTTTTAAATTAGCTCTGCTGATTCCAAAAAAATTTAGCAATTACAAAAAGAATTCCTGAAATTCGCAATTAATTCCAATAGTTCTAAGAAATTTAATGTAATTTAAAAGAATGTCTCCGATAATTTCAAAAAAAAAATTCTAGCTATTTCAAAAAGAATTCTAATAATTTTAGAGAAATTCTAGTAATTTACAAATAGCTCGAGTAATTCCATAAAAATTCCACCGAAATTCTAATAATCTATCTTAATTCTATTATTTTCAGATTAATTTCTACAATTCCAAATTCCAACTTAATTTTCGTAATTTCAAAATAATTCTTGTAATTTGAAATTAATTCCGATAGTTCTAAGAAATTTAATGTAATTTAAAAAAATGTCTCCGATAATTTCAAAAAAAAAATCCAGCAATTTTAAAAAGAACTAATAATTCTAGAGAAATTCTAGTAATTTTCAAATAGTTCGAGTAATTCCATAAAAATTCTACCGAAATTCTAATAATCTATCTTAATTCTATTATTTTCAGATTAATTTCTACAAATCCAAATTCCAACTTAATTTTCGTAATACTAAAATAATTCTTGTAATTTCAAATTAATTCCGATAGTTATAATAAATTACGAGTAAACGTATTCTTTTAAATTATCTCTGCTGATTCCAAAAAAATCTAGCAATTACAAAAAGAATGCTAATAATTCTAGAGAAATTCTAGTAATTTACAAATAGTTCGAGTAATTCCATAAAAATTCCACCGAAATTCTAATAATCTATCTTAATTCGATTAATTTCTACAATTCCAAATTAATTCTTGTAATTCCAACTTAATTTTCGTAATTTTAAAATAATTTCTATTTCAAAGTACATAATTCCCATAGTTCTAAGAAATTTAACGTAATTTTAAAAAGAAATTCGATAATTCCAAAAAAAAAAACTGTAATTTCAAAAAGAATTCCAGTAATTCCGTAAAAACTTCACTGAAATTTTATTTTCGTTATTTGCAGATTAATTTCTATAATTCCAAATTAATTTATGTAATTCCAACTTAATTTTCGTAGTGACAAAATAATTCCTGTATATAATTCCAAATTAATTCCGATAGTTCTAACAAATTCGACATATTTCCAAAGAAATTATATCCGATTATTCCAAAAAAAAATTTTTGTAATTTAAATCTAAAGAATCCAAAGATAATTTTAATACTTCTAAGCAATTTTGATTAAATTCCAAAAATTTGTACAACTAACGACCAGAGTTAACGGCCTCTCGGATAAATATTACCATTACCCTGTGGGAAAAAAATAAATCATAAACTTTGTTCATTTAATGTTGAGAATTAGGCTAATGGAAGCAAGGAAACTGTTGTGGTGTTTTTTTTTGCTTTTGTCATGCTTGAGAAATGGATGTAATAGTTAAACATTTTTTATTTCAATTTCAAGTGTAGGTGTTTTGTTTTCCAAATAAACGAATAATTTTGTTCACCCACTGACCAGTTGAAAAATGATAAAATACTTTTTCGCCTGTAGGTGTCTATTCAAATAACACCCACACGCCTAGTAGAGGAAAATGTAAAACATAATTTTCAGTAATAAATTTTGTATGTTTACTCGAGGTATCGATAATAAAAATTTATATTAAAAAAACCGAATAATTTAAAGTGGGTATTAGTATTTTTTTAGGAGAGCTTGTTTTTTCCGGCTAAACTCCTTCGAGGAGAAAATTGTTCCTATTTATAAAAATTCGTTGTCTGAAGCTACATTGTCACCATAAATCGAGCGTAAATATCAAGGGTAGCTATTTTTCATCGAGTACGTGGCCGTAGAAACAGCAAATAACCTTAACTATTATTGCAATTAATGATTAGGTAACAGATTATTTAGGGTTAGGAGCCCAGCTCGAAATATTGGCAAGATCAGTTGATTTCAACTGATCCAACATCTAGTCGTTGTGTAAAATTTGGTCGAAAATGTTCGAATTTCGCGCCGGTTTTTATTTTTAACTATGCGTGAAAGTGTGTTTTTGCCATGGGTTTACTACTCTCGGTTTTGGTTGCTTGTGTGGGTGTTGTGGAACTTTTAGCTTTTTACTCGAACGTCACCAGAAATTTTGTTACCACTTCCACACAAACGAATCTGCCCGATCTCACTAAAAGGTATCTACAAGACCTTGAAAAACTCAATACCACAACTAGACAAATTTCTTCCGAAGACATAGAACTAGAAGTTGGTGATGTAGTGACTAGATCTAGATCTTCAACACCTAAGAGGTTTCTTCTGACTGAAAAAGAAGATCATGATCGGTCAAGATCACCAACACCTCGTCGTTTTATTGTCACAAATGCCAACGGCGAGAATTCGAATTTACCGAAATTTATCGTCGAGGAGAAAAATTCCACACAAAAACAGTTCAAAATTAAAAAAGACGATACTGTTTTTCCTCTACCTAAGGAATTTATTGTGACACCACATTCTAGATCACCTTCCCCTATTCCAAGAAGATTCGGTGAACAACAAGAAGTGATTTTCAGACGTTCACCCTCTCCTTACCCTAATCCTGTTCTTCCAGTTCCCAGAAATAGTATCTGTAGTGAATTGCTCGAAAATCCCACTCTAAGTGTGGTCGAAGTTGATGAAGAGCAAATTTCAAGGTCTCCAACACCAGAAAAATTAGATTTGATTTTGGAATCAAAACACGACTCTACTGAATATTGGACAAACAAAATGTTAGTCGTTCCTCGGTCAAAGAGTAGAGAATCTTCCAAATCTGCATCTCCCTGCTCTTCAAGAACACCCGAAGAATTCGACGAACAATTTCTCGACTCCCTCGACGGTGTTAAACGAAGTAAACTTAGTCGAAGTAGTTCTTCGCGGAAATCGCGAAAGAGAAATAAAGCTCCGATTAATAACGAGTCAAAAGGTTAGATTTTTTCGGCTATGGTCATTTGCTGATTGTCTTTTTATAGATGATTGCTTGTCATCTTCTGACGCTCAAACTGCTAAAACACTAACAGAAGCTGCTAATGTTTTAAAATCGGTTAATCGAGAAGATGCTCCTTCCGGATCTTCAGCAGGTCCTAGTAATGGTGATAGTAAAACAACAGAACCTTTTTGGGTAAATCATTAAATTCGGCTTGTGCTTAAATCGAGTTCTCAATAAATTAACAAAGCTTTTTTTGTTTTATTTTTTCCATTGGCGACAAAAACAGGTGCCAAGTTGCATATTCAGATATAATAACCATCTTGTTTGCCTTAGTTAACCCGAAAAAGATAAACCGGATTTAGTTTTTACGTCTGAAGTAAAAATATCCATTGTGAATTAGCTGATTTTGCATGAGCGAAACCAAAGGACTGATTGTTTCTAACAGATGTTTAATGTTCGAAATACGCCTTGTCTTTGAACAAACTATTAATAGCTTTATGGCGGACTTGTCACTTGTTACAAGGCTTAGTGCTTCCGATTTTTTGCTAAATTATTTATTTTTGAAGAAGTTGAAATATTATGATGTGTAATTAGTAAGGCTCGGATTATATGCAAAATGCATATTTGTTATTAAGAGGTATATCAACAACATTGTAAGTTTTCTATGCATATCTAATGTTTTTTAATTAAAATAAGCCAAATAAAAAATGCATATTTTGGCAACTTGGTGCATATTTTAGGAAATATTGTATGTTTGTGCATATTTTCTTCAAATTACGACTAAAAATTTCAGTTCAACGTAAAAATTGGACAGTTTATGAAAAATGATCCGATTACAAAATATTTTAAAGAGAAAACAACCGGTAATTCGTAAGCCAAACTCAAAAAATTAGTACCCTGCTGAGTATTTCCTTTTTAAATTGTATTGAACTAAGCGGTTTTTTTTAATCATTTGTTTCCAAAAAATAATAATTAATCTAAATTAAAGTAATATAAAAATGATCTTATTTTAACAACAAAATTTTGTTTTGTTTTTGAGTTATTCGATTTTTCCTGTCTAAATTGCGGATATAGGTATGTAAAAAAATAATTTAATACAAAGCAGATAGTTGTAATCCCTTAGATCATAACCTTCATGAAAAAAATGTTTTTTTTTTGGTGGGTCCCCATTTAAAAAAAAATTAATAAAAAAATATATATATAAAAAATTAATATTTTTGATAAAACATCACATTTTTATAGAACTTTATAATTCATCAATTAGTTTTTTCAAAAAATAAATACCTTTGACTTTTTATTGTTCAAAATTTTGTATATCGATGAATATTTGGTATATATTGGAGCATATTTCTTAATATTTTGTGCATATTTTTGTGAAAATACGTGCATACAGGGTGTTCGGTCCAAGTCACCCCGGCTAATAACACCTAAACTTACTTCTTTTATTCAAAAAGTAAATATTTAAGTAATAATATTCATTCTTGGCTTTCTTAATAAATGTATCAATTTTTTTAGCACATCCGGTGTTGCCGGAAATGCTACCAAATTTAGTTTTTCAAATGGAACACCTATGTTTTTTTTTTCTCCAAACAATAATAATTGACATGAAAAATATTGTAAACCACTATTTATTACATTTTGCGTAACACAATGCAATCAAAAACGTTTTAAATCTTAGAATTTTATAAGGAAATTGGTCGCGTAGCCTGATTTTTAATTTGAAAGGAAAGGTGTGAATCAAAAAATGCTTGGATACAGTTTAATTGTTAGTTTGACAAATCTAATTTGTCAGTTGATAAGCGAGTTCTCTTATGGAAACTTTTGGATTTTTTTCGACTGATAACAGAACATTCAGATTTCTATTTTCTTGTTCTTCACAAAGAACCCCACGTTTTTTAGTTTTAAGAAACAAACCTATTCGTCTCAGTTGTTTTTCAATTCGACTAAATTTCCAACGATTTGTGTGAACTCTTTCAGCTTCCGCTCTCTTTTTTTGCACTTAAAAAACACTTCAAGCTGATCTACCAATTCGTCGTAATTAATATCATCCATTATTAAAGATCTCAATAAGATTTATAGACAAATTAGGCTTTGTCAAACTAACAATTAAACGGTATCCAAGCATATTGCTTTTTGCATAAATACCTTGACAAGTAAAATCCGCCTACGTTGCAAAATTTGCAATAAAATTAAAAAATTTAAATTGTTTTCTGAGTGCATTATGTAAAGTAAAATATAATAAATAGTGGTTTACCGTATTTTTCATGGCAATTATTATTGTTTCAAGCAAAAAAAACATAGGTGTCCCATTTGAAAAACTAAATTTGGTAGTATTTCCGGCTACACCGGATGTGCCAAAAAAATTTGATGCATCTACTAAGAAAACGAGGAATGAATAGTATTGTTTGAATAATTTGTTTTTGAAAAAAAAAGTAAGTTTAGGTGTTATCGGCCGGGGCGACTTGGACCGAACACCCTGTATATATGCGCATATTTTACGATTTTTTCGTGCATATAATCCGAGCCTTAGTAATTAGGAATTACTTCCTGTAGTAGGCGGCAAGTAATTTAAGGGATCTACAGTTCATTAATCGCAGTCCAAGCCCAATGTAACAATGTGGGTATTTGTGGAACTAATTTTAATTTAATTTAGCGTTCATCAAGCAAAAATTTTGATAAGCGGTAACCTTTCTGTGAGAAGTTAACAAATAGACTGAAAAAACTACAATGAATTTAAAAAAATGTTACCTAATCGAAAAAGTTTTCGGTGCAAGTTCGGAGTTATTTTTCCAAATATTGTTTTAGAACAGAACACTTGGCCAACGATGACATACTTACAAAGTTATTTAAACACAAGTTTCCCAAAATAATGAAATTTGAATAACATTTTTGCCCCACAAACCGATTTAAATTTATTATTAATGTCCTTAGGGACTTAAAGTGAAAGTCTTTAATTAGCATTAATGTTATTACATTGCTTTTAATTGCTGAACATGTTTTTGGCAATGATCGAAATGCCAGGAATTTTTATGTTGATGGTGCAAAAATTTGTAAATACTAAAACACATTGAATTGGTAATTAGCGAAAATTGAGTACCTCAAGCCATTAAAGTTGAGTAGTTTGTCATTTGAATAAGAGTGAGTGATTTATCCATTTCGGAAATGAATCGATTTTGGGCCCAACTTGCGTCATTTCGCGATTATCAAACAGAGAAAAGAAGGAATAATAAATTGCGTCAAGTATTTGATGTATTTTCGTCTGGTATAGATACACACAGCATCGACCCACCTCAAATCAGAGAAGCATATTGCACCCGGCACTACGTCCCATATCATTTTCTAAAAATATAAAGGGAATAGCTTCGCCGATTTACCCATCTAACAGAATTCAGTCGCAGTTCACTGTTTGAACCGAGTGTGTGTATTGTCCTCGAAAATGGGAGACGTTGAAGTTCATTCCAATTTTACCATCACCGAAAAGAAGACGAAAAAAGTCAAGAAGACCACCAAAAGAAGGGAAAGTAGTGATCATGGCGGTGAAGTCACCATCACTGAAATGGAACGCACCAATGGCACGCAGGGGTATGTGTTGGCATCTTGAGGGGACTGGACCTACAGTGGAAGTGTATAGGGCCCAGAAACGGCACCGATTTTTTCACATTTTACCACATCTAAATTTAGACAGAGACTTTTCTGGAACGAGTGCAAACCAGAAATGGTGCCAATTTTATACTAAATTTGGGGTTGAAACTGTTTCTATACACTTTCACATTTCACGCACTGGTTACTACAAACATGCCATCACATACCCCTGTGATAACAAAAGGTACATAAAGAAAATAACTGTTTTCTCATTAAAGGCGCTATTTGCTTAACATAAAAGTGCTCATAAAAGTGTTGTAAAGCACCCTAAATTTACAACAAGACTAAATAAAAATGTTTTCGCTAATTTATTACTTGGATTGTCTTTTCACGATTTTCAGTAGTACGACGTTGACTTTACGCTCCAATTGGAGTCTTTTGATTTTCAAAAACTATAAATAAAAACAGAAATACGTCTCTGGAACGATTTTTAGATACGTACATCAGTTTTTTAAAGAATTTCAATCAAAAAAGTAAAACATTATATTACTAAATTGACCTGAAAAACTTTTCAGTTTGTGAAATTGTTATTGGTATTAAATATTTTAGGTTTCGTTTCAAAGTTGTAAGACAGAAATTAACTTTCTGCAATTAACTTGCAACATCTTGAAATGTACTCTACTATTGATTTCTTATACATTTGCAGAACAGTTTATACAAAAATTGTATCAAAAAGAGCAAACTTGAAAAAAGTAGAAAAAGTCCTAGTAATTTCATAGATCTGAAACAATATACAGGGAGATTCACAACTCTCGAATGGTGATAAAACTTTTCTGAGAAAAAACAGAACTGACAATTTTTATTATTAGCTTTTCCGATGTCGGATTTTATTTATTGTTGAATTTGCTAGTTTGTTAAATGTTTCGTACACCATAAACCACAAATTGGTGATTTTTTCCAAGACTTGAGTCACCTTGTATATTGTACATAAGTACTTGGACTTTTTATATCCGAATCGAAGTTACTCGCTTAAAAAACTGGATACACCATCCAAATAGCACCTATTTGGAAATAAAGTTTGAGTTTTTCCAAGACTTTTGAATCAGCCTGTATATTGTACATAAATACTTGGGCTTTTTATATTCGAATCGAAGTTACTCAATTAAAAAACTGGATGGTGCTATTTGGAAATAAAGTTTGATTTTATTTAAAAATGGTTTCCGATTTCGATTCATCTGAAACGAAATCTATTCAAAAATTCAATGTAAAAGAGCTACATTTTTTATAGATCGGAATTTGAGCTTAATTCAAAAAAGTTTTTTTTAATTCGTAAAATCTAAAAAATGCGTTCTTTAGATTAAGATTTAAATTTTTTATTTTAACAAAGCTTACGTGCTAAAGAGACATCTTATTTCAAACTTGTAAAAATTTGATATACAGGTTTAAAACAGCCACTTTGGATATCTCAGAAAGTAAACAAAAATTAGAGACAGGTCAGTTTATAATTTTTTTGACATTTGATTAATGTCAATCAACGCCAACGACGTTTTAGAGCTAATTTTGCACTTTTACAGAAAATTGTTCTGCGTAACGTAAATAAAAATACTCAAAACTTAAACAAAACACACAGCCGAATTTTTAGTCAAAATACCTTTCATTTGAAGTCTCACAAAGGGGGTGGTGCCATTTACCATTTTTACTTTTAAAAGTACACTAAAAGATAAATAAAAATTAACCTGTTTTGGGATTTTCTAATTTTTGTTTATTTTATGAAATTCCAGGGTGGCTCGTTTTAAAAAAATCACCCTGTATTTGAAATAACGTATATGTACATGGTTAATTTCTGAGAGTAGTCTTAGTACACGAGTAAAAAATGCATGAATTCATTTTAAATTTCTATTGATTTGGCGTTCTTGTCTATGTGAAGTGGACTTTGTAGACTTTGTATTACCAAGTATTTAAAAACAAGTGAAAAAACGAAGTTTACCAACAACTTGAATTGTTGTAACCCAAAATACAATAAATTATATTTTATCTAAAACTTTTATAAATCAAATTATTGTCTCATGTCGGCTCGTCGTTTTATATGAATCACTCTGTGTTAATTTGGTAATATTACGTAACTGTTTTTTGAAATGAAATAGACCGTCATTTTAATTGAATTTATAATCAAAGTGAACTGTGATTCTGAAACAAAAGATACGAGATGAATCAGAAATTAATTGCAGGCCTGGCGTATTTATTTTACAGACACACTGTATATTAAAATCTGTATATTCAAATCGTATAGATAAAACTTGTTTCAACAACTTTAATTTTAATTAAAGTAATTTGGATTAAGTTATGTGACAATGAAGTAATTGTATTTTTGGTCAACACCCGGTAAATTTTTTGTGTGCTGAAATGCACATCTGTTGCGACCTGGAGCACTGCCAATGTGACATTTTTGCACCCAATAATCAGCACATAAAAACGTAATGGACCTTTTTATTATATCAGAATTTTGAAACAATTTTCCCAAAACTTTAAGTATGTTGAAAAATATGACATAACACTTGATTGTATCAAGAAATTCCATCCATTGTTGGGTTTTTTTGCATGAAATTGTTTTCTTCCATACTCGTCCAACGTGCTTATTACTCGATGACGACTCCATGTGGGCTTCATATTTTGTTGTTTTTCAGCTGATTTTCAGTGGCGAGTACACAAAGGCCATGAACAAGGACTGGCATGGACAACACTTTTGCTGTTGGCAATGTGATGAGAGTTTAACTGGTCAACGTTACGTCCTCCGCGACGATCATCCTTATTGCGTGTCATGTTACGAATCTGTCTTTGCCAATGCTTGCGAAAAGTGCAGCAGAATCATCGGTATCGACTCAAAAGTAAACTTTTATCACATTTTTGTCACCCAAACTTCCTCACAGAGGTTTTTCTCACACACAGGACCTCTCCTACAAAGACAAGCATTGGCACGAGGCCTGTTTCTTGTGCACGACTTGCGGGGAATCCCTCGTAGACAGGCAATTTGGGTCGAAGGGCGACAGGATCTACTGCGGGCGTTGTTACGATGAACAGTTCGCCTCCAGGTGCGACGGCTGCCACGAAATCTTCAGGGCAGGTAGGTTTTATTCAAATCAAATCAAATATCTTTATTAGTGTTAAAATACCTCAGTGGCATTTACACAAGTCTAGTCACTCTACAAAGTAAATAAACATATAAGCTAATTTATTCTAAGTGAAAATTTATAAGACAGAAAAATCAAAACTAAAAAATTCCACAGAAGAATAAAATGGATTTTTCACTAAAAAATTTTGACAAAGTTTTTAAATAAATTACAAGGTAATATTTTGATACTAAGAGGTAAAGTATTGAAGAATTTTAAACAGTAATAGTTAACAGCGTCTCGAGAGCGGTTTAATCTTAAGAAATCATGGTGAAGTAAGTCTTTGTGACGAGTAAAGTGTCCATGGTCTTGAGTTGAAAATTTTGAAGAGTTATTTTTTACAAAAAGTAAGCAAAAAATGTACAATGATGGAATCGTCATGATTTGTAGATCCGCGAAACTCTTGTGGAAACACTCTCTGTACCTTAAATTGTTAATAATCCGAATAGGTTTACATTGAAGAGCAAATAGAATTTTCGTATGACAAGAATGCCCCCACACTAGTAGACCGTACATTAATAGGCTTTGTATGTAGGCATGATAATTGTTTTTTTGGATGAAACATGCAGGAGTTGTCTTAGTACGTATATTTTTTGTGATATTTTATTTGCAATAAATGTTATATGATTTCCCCAAGTAAGTTTATTGTCAACATAAAGACCTAATAATTTAATAGCTTTTGGAGTTTCGTCGATGTTCCGTAACGAAAATGTAATCAATTGTGTTTTGTCTTCATTAAGAGATAATCTTTTTGATTCAAATCATATTTTGATTTCATTATCCGAGGATAAGGCAATATTATGTAATGATTCAGTATCACTGTGACTGTCTACAATTGTGGTATCGTCTGCGAATAATATTATATTAGAACGAGTTGCCATGGGAAGATCATTTATATAAATTATAAACAATAAAGGTCCTAATACTGATCCTTGAGGAACACCAAATCTATTTTATTGACAGTTGGAAACTTTATCTTTATATTGAACAAATTGTTTGCGATCTCGAAGATAAGACGATATTAAAGCAATACTATTAGAAGAAAAACCATAGTGTTTCAGTTTATCCAAGAGGATGCTATGGGTAATGCAATCAAAAGCCTTAGTTAAATCATAACAAGTTGCAAAGACGTGATTTTTATTTTCAAAAGCATCAAAAACTAGCTGTGACACGAGTTGTAAAGCAGAAGTAGTCAATCTGTTACATCTAAACCCAAATTGACTCTTGGAAAATAAATGATTATTTTCAAAGTGAAAACTTATTTGATTTTTTAGTAGTATTTCGAGAATTTTTGAGAGGTAATTTGCAGGATCATTGAAAAGGGTATTATCTTTGATAGTTTTAAACATTGCGGGAAAACATTGGTAATTAGACACATATTAAAAAAGCTTAGTTAAGGGAGAGATTATGAGATTTTTGATAGTTAGAATGATAGTGGAATTCTGGAATTACTACCATCTGCATCATTACTAAATTTCATTAAAGAAAATAAGAGCCTTTTCTCTATTAGCAAGTTTTTATTTACTTGATAGAACAAGAAATAACACCACAACAAAATTTTGTGGAAAAAAATCATTATCAAAATTATGTTTTTCACAAACATTTTTGTTATTTAACTTGTGAAAACTCATTTGTCAAAGTGACATTATTGTCAAAAAAATAAAGCCGCCAATGTGATGAGATTTAAAACGCAGAGAAAAAATATTTTAAGTCGAAAATCAAATTACAACACGTCATCTGGTGTTGTAACAATAGTCGGTGCTAGAACTAAAAAAAAATTACACATAGGAGTCAAAAATAAAAATTGTAAAAAATGTATGTATTATAAGAAAAAAAAAAAACAAACGGCCCCTCTTCATAAATAAAAAATTGGAAAAGTACTTCGATTTCGATGGAAGCTGCAATTATTGTAGATGGATTTAAAAAATCAATAAAAAATAATGTACGATTTAAAAACCTCATATGAGGTGGTGATATCAGTGTCTACAAAAAAATTCGTAATGCGAGACCTAATTATTTCATTCAAAAAATTGAATATTGAAATCATATACTACGAAATTTTTGTACCAAAATTAGAGAAATCGCTAAAACTCCCCGATCCGACATAAATATAAAAACATTTTTGCACAACAATTACTTGAAATTTATTTTTTTTTAAAGTTCTTTGTTTGAGTTGTTCCTAAGGGCATTAAAAAGAGTTGCAAATTTATCTTCAAGTCTTTTGGACAATGTCGATAATTCTGTTTAATTCAGTAAACAAACCGTCCTCAGTGAAATTAATATAAATATTATGTTTTATTTTTTTTATTTTTTAGGTTTACGTATTGGGCCTAATGCCTTTATACCTATCTATTACATCTATCTATTTTTTTAAATTTACTTTTAAATAGATGAATAATTAAAAAATTGAAGTTTTGAAATGAACTAACAATTCTCTTCTTGAGGGGTGCAGATGTTAATAATTAAGATTTTTACATATTATTCAATAAAAAAATATCTATTAATTTATTTAAAGCGGGAATATTATCCTGTTCTCTATTTACACTACAAACATCAAGAAACTCTTCAAATCTACATTTGCGGCTAAAAACAATGAAATAAATGTACATGTAATAGGTATACGCCAGGTTTCTGGGGGTCTGCAGCCCTAAATGCAAAAAAATAGATTCTAATGAAGATAATGCTTGTAATTGCGAGCAGCGTGCATATTTTACATCATATCTATTTTGGCAAATGCTCTAAACGTGTTCAACCTTTCACCGGTCTGTAGGTGTTGCCAGGATGTGTATTAATAAAAGCTACACTTATTACATTTTGTTTATGCTTTCGTGTCGCTTATCATTGCTTGAACTTTTACGAAATTATTGAAATTCTGCATTGACAGCGTAATCTATGCTAATTACAGTCAATATAAGAATTTTTAATCTCCGTTTCTCCGGTTTTATTTATAAACATGACTTGTACAAATTAAACTTTCTTGCTATCATTATTAAAACTTGATTTTTGCATGTTTTATTAATTTTTTGCGATTTTTTCCTAACCCAACGATGAATCAAATGTGTGCCATGACTGGTTACCCTACATGGTCAAGTGTCACCCAATACAATACGTAATACGAACCATCGTTTACCATTTTTGTAAATAATTCACCTGGTTTTACCTTTTCTCTTTTATCAATTAAATTGTTACATAGAAATGTCATAATTACACAACTTGTGACTTCTAGTCAACATATGGCGGTTTTAGAATTGCGTAATAAGGATTTGACAGTAAAGAGAACCAAGGTAATTCAGTAAAATGTTTTATTAAAATTGGATTTTTAATTGCAGTGACTTATTTGGGCAAACATTGACTCTAAGATTCACACTTTTATTGGCTCATAAATTATACTTGCAATTTACATAGTGTAAATTAATGGGACAATATCATTATGGCAGTTCACTGAATTGATGATAAACTTAATAAATCAAACATTTTGGGAAATATTTTCTGTATATCGCTTTTAAATATTATAATTTAGAATGTAGACAAAATATTATTTTGGAAAAACCGGCCTCAAAATATTTTAAACTAAACTTTGATTTTTGTCGAAAACACTTGTTTGAAAATTTACACAGCTAAGATTTCGAGAAAAGTAACATTTTCACAGTATTAAAGAAATTTGTACTTTTTTCTTTCAAGATGTAAAAATTTAATTTTTTATTATTCTAGTGTTATTGTGTGTGATAATTTTATAAAGTGTATGTTTTTGCCAAAGTAATCCAATTTTTCTAAAACTAAATCCAAATTGTACTTTTTCCTTTGAAGATGTAAAAATTAAATTTTTTATTATTCTTAGTTTGTGTAATATTTTTTTTAAATAATATTTTTGTCAAAGAAATCACAAACCAAGCATAATCGCTAAAAAATATAGTTTAAAATCATGCAAAAAAAAACAGTTTCATTAAAAAAAAAATGTACAGGGTGTTATCTAAATAGACCAAAAAAATGACACATAGGATAAGATACCAGGAACATCAAAAAATGTTAAAAAAAATACTATCTACTAAAATTTCGAAGTTATGAGTGTTTAAATTGTGCACTTTGACTCTATTTATTTCTGTTGGAAAAATAATTTTCCAATTTACTAAATAATTATAAAAAAGTATCTACAAGATCATCAGTATCATTAGACATAAGAAACTAAATCCAAATTGACTAATACAAGTTTGAAATAAAGAGCTACATCCAAAAATAAAAAACATAGTGTGTTTTATAAAAAAAACATAAGTTTGTATTGTAACTTGTTTTTGAAACGCCTTACTTATTTATACAGTGTCCCGAAAAAACGTTGAAAGATTTTCAGAAGTGATCAATATAGAAAAAAAAGTTTTAATGGACCTATGTCTAAAAATGCTTCCTAAGGGAGTTTATATGAAAAAACTCATTAATTAAGGTCGATGAACGGTTAAGAAAAATCTATTTTTTTTCGAAAATGGTACGTCACTAGAGACATTTTTCAAGAAAATTAGCTAATAAATTCGAATCCGTCAAAAAAATTAAAAAAACTTTTTCCAAAGCAAAATTTTATCTTTAAAAATTTTTTTTAACTTTAGTGCCTTCGCCGTTCTAAATGGGGTACACAATTTTAATGTTACCAATAGATTCAGCGCTTTTGTGAATTTTACTGAGATAATCGAAAAAAAAAGTATTTTTGTCCGCTGTCTTCAGAGGGTTCTAGCTCTCAGGAGCCATTTCTGGCCAAAGGTCATTAAGAACTTTTTTCTTATTTTTATCTAGGGAACCACCCCTTGAAATTTTCCAAAATTTTTTTGGGACACTCTGTATATCTTTTTCAACTATTAGATGTAGAGACTAAAAATAGGGTGTTTCATTTAAATTTTTCAAGTTTAATTTTTTGACTGCAACACACTAAAAATATTATAGCTCTAAAATTTGTACTTTTTCCTTTGAAGATGTAAAAATTAAATTTTTTATTATTCTTAGTTTGTGTAATATTTTTTTTTTAATAATATTTTTGTCAAAGTAATCACAAACCAAGCATAATCGCTAAAAAATATAGTTTAAAATCATGCAATAAAACAGTTTCATTAAAAAAAATGTACAGGGTGTTATCTAATTAGACCAAAAAAAATGACACATAGGATAAGATACCAAAAAATGTTAAAAAAAAATACTATCTATTAAAATTTCGAAGTTATGAGTGTTTAAATTGTGCACTTTGACTCTATTTATTTCTGTTGGAAAAATAATTTTCCAATTTACTAAATAATTATAAAAAAGCATCTACAAGATCATCAGTATTTTTAGACATAAGAAAATGTCAAAAAATTTTCACAGCTAGAAAATTTTAAACATTTTTTAATGTTCCTGATATCTTATACCACTAGTATTTTTTTTTGTCTATTCACAAAACCCAAAAAAATGAATTTTTTGTACATTTTTGAAAAAAAGAGACCTGTATTTTATTGCAAAAGTCGCAAATTCCCAAATAAACGATGTGAGTAAATACGTGGTCAAGAGTGTAGCTAAAAAAATCGGTTATTCAAATCCTTATCAATATTAATAACTCAAATGGCGTGTATTTTTAGAGATGATTGTGCTGAATTATTGAATAAAACTAATTTGAAATTTGATTTCACTTCCGTTCGTTTCGGTGTTGGTCTGTAACCCAAGAATCGTTAAGGACTATAATGTGCGTGCGAATTAACGAAATTAAAAATGACGTTATTTGTCTCTAAATATTAGCTCTTTTATCGCAAACAGTTTTTTAATTAGGGCAATTAGTCGGGCTCGGCACGCGTCTCTTAATATTTCTAATTGAAGAATGATCGCCGGTTCACACCTCATTGCTGCAGGTAGATTAATTTTTCCAATTTCTCCTGCAAGATGCGTGTAGGTAGGTAGGCAGCAGAGTCGGTGGTAACCTTGCAGAGCATAAATGTTCGACGATTTCGTGAGACTGGTACGAATCTCCAGTTCTTTAAAAGACTTTGTGTCGCGATGACTCAAACACCGAGTGACTAAAGAAATGTGTTTTTATTGAAAATTACTATCGAAAAATGGCAGGAACGTTGAGTGATCAGTTTAAAACACGTTTGAATCTTCAAACGAAGACTGTCGGGGAAGAACGGATCAAAAAGGCGAAAGAGCGAAATGAAGATGTTGCGATTTTGTCAATGGAATTACCAGGGGAAAAAAAGGCGTTCAAGTGCTGTTTGGACAAAGACTGCTTGTTGGGGGACCCCACAAGCTTGCCTTTAGGTACGAAGAGTGGAATCGTACGTAATTAGCACGAAAATCCATGAAGGAGATGTTTGTTCAAAGTGTTATCTTGTCATATTTATTTTTATTTCTTTAAATGCTATATTATAATAACTAGCACATGTTTATTTATAAATTGCATTGGTTTGGGTTGAATATTACTTTAAAATTGCGTTTTTCTCTTGAAGGCCATAATGGATCGGTCATCGACTCGTTGCAATGTGAAATTATGGTAAATTCTCATAATTTAGTTAGAAATCGGAATTTTTGTTTAATCGTTCGTTCTCAAAATGGTAATTGTACGTTTTTATGGTTTCGTATTTGTTTAAAAATTGTGGTGAACGTAGTAGTTACTCATACGACATTGAAAGCCATATTTACCTCAAACTCTCGTATTTTATTTAACTTTTGCCTTATTTGTAGAAATTAATAATAAACAACATTACACAGCTTTGAAACGATTCAAGTTTGGTTGAAATTAAAGTGATTAAATTTTGAGTAGGTGGATTACGAGTAATTTTTCCACTCGTGGGCTTACAATTATTCGGAAAGAGGTCAGTGTCGTCAGACAACTTTTCACATGAGTTAGCTCGATAAAAAACGAATCAATTTTTTGTAAAGTTGCGTGCATAAAGTCAATAATTATCGCAATTTGCAGTCGTAATTCATTGGCTTCGCAGCAAAATAATTGAGTTTGTTGTGGGGCACGTTAGAAATATTACCAACGAAATTTTTTGTCACAAGTGGAATTAAATCAATCAGTGGGCAGAAAAATTCGGATGAGTCAGTTTAATTGGTTGTTTGCATTTGTAAGGATTGTCAGCGTGTGATGACTTAATTGAATAATAGTTTTTGAGATTCTTGTTTTTTTTTCATTCATTCAGCTTTTTTTTAATTAGTTCGTAAATGATTGTGACTATTTGGGCGAAATATCTGTGACACACCGTACCTATCGGGTTTATTGTCGAAACCTTGACCGAGCTTTTATGTCAATAAAAGTATTATTTCCAGGATTGTGAGATTTTTTTTTATCTGATATCAGTTGTCAGGAGTTGCAACAATTTTTCACTGCTATTATTTTTAAACCAGATCGTTGATTTTTCCACTTATAATAACTCATAGTTTGCATTTAAACAATACGGTGTCCTAAAAAAAACGTTAGAGGATTTTGGGTGGTGATTCCTTATGTTAATAGAAAAAAAGTTTTTATGTCCAGAAATGCTTCCTAAAGGAGTTCCAGCAATTCGACCTGTTATATAAAAAAATTCATTTGGGCTGCTTTTCGGAATTAGAAAATGAAAGAAAAAACGATTTTTTTGTAAAAGGGTGTCGTAAAAAATAGCACAAAAGACATTTTTTTTCGAATTTGTAAAAAAATTCATAAAACTTTCCGAAGCAACATTTTTGTCTTAAATAGGTTGAAGGTGAACAATTTTTGATAACATTAGTAGTTTCAAGACCAAGAAATTCCCCCGGATATAAATTTTGTTTTATTTCAACCGGTTACTGAGATAATTGAAAAAAAAAAGACTTTTTGCTCTCCTTTAGCCCCCTTAAGAAGCAATTCCGGAAATCGGTTATAGATATTTTTTTTATATTGATCTGATGAATTTCTGTTTTTATTGTTACAAATTTAAAAAGGTGATAGAATATTGAATTTTAAGACAAAAGTTTCCTATGACCATTTATCGAAAAATACTATGTAAGAGAGGTACAACTTTTTTATTTTTTCCCAGTACTAACATCGGATTTTTTTTCTATTTTTACTATCATAGTTATAAATACGTAGTAAAAATTATGTTTCCGGCAATAACAACTTTTATTTACTTTAAAAAACAGTGTTTTTTTGTTATTTGTTATACACAGTAAAATTTGATAAAATCTAATTAGGTAGTTATACAGGGTGGTCCAGCGAGTTAGTAAAAGTCAATTATTTATTGACCTTTAAATGTTAAATATTTATGTGTATAAAAAATTCATAAAATAAATTCTCTACACCACCTAAAATTATTTTCAAGTATACACACATACAAGGTATTTGAAAAATAAGTAACAATACACATTACATTTTTTAACAACATTTTTCTGTTTATTTTGATGACTAAACTAAACTTTTATTAGTCGATTTTACTTAGTTTTTAAAATACCTTGATTTTTTGGTGGAAACACTCTTTTTCAATATGTATGTATTTATCTTATTACATAAAAAGGAAGATTCCTAGAAAAATAAAATTTCACAATTTTAAAGAAGGAACTTTAAACTTCAGGGATACAATATTTTTGTCACCGATTGCAATAATAATGGTAAAAAAATGGAGAGGTTTATTAAAAATTAAATAACTCAAAAAATGAAATGGAATTTCATGACATGAATCTTGAAATTCGAATTGTTTTAATGTGAAAATAAAGAATTATGGAATCAGTATGATTATTAAGCTATATTTCTTACACCTTTTGTCCAACTGTCCACTTTTTGGCTTCTTAAACAAATGATTTTTTTATTTTTAAAATTAAATATTTTTATATTTTTCAATTATAGACATGGAAATTTATGTTTTTAAATAGACAATTTATAATCTATTAGATGTTATAGTACCGAAGTTTGTACTCTTATTTTTTAAAGATGTATTTTTAATTAGTTTTATTTGTAATAATTTACTTTGTCAAAGAAATCAAAATATTTTAAAAACCAAACAGAATCGGTTAATAAAAGTTTAGTTTAAAATCATCGAAATTAAAGCTACATCTAAAAATGCAAAAAACATTAAAAAACATAAGTTTAATCTGTAACTTATTTTTGAAACACCTTGTATACTTATTAATAGTTTTAGGTGGTGTAAGTACACACATTTTTGAATACTTTAACATTCTTATTGGGACACTGTAAATTTTTGCGAGCTTTATAGAAAAAAATAACCTTCAAAATATCAAATTTTTGTTTGTCGTTGTTACGTGATATTAAATGTAATAAATCTTGACCATAAATAGATAAAAAAAAACAATAGACCTTGAAATATTTTCTTCAATATATTTAGAAGTGAGCTTTTTGAATAGGGACGAGTTTTATCTTTTCTAATTGAAAAAAAATCTTGTTAGAATGAGTCAATGAACTAAATAACTCAAGTGCAAGTAAGTTGAAAACGAAACAAAAAAAAAACGTAAAGTTCACGGCGATGATTTCACACGAAACGTCAAGACCGTAAAGATTCCGCTCGGATAGACAGCTAACGAGTTGATATCCACATATCGCATTAACACAATTACTTTCAGGAACAAAGAAGATGGAATACAAGACGAGGCAATGGCACGAGAAGTGCTTCTGTTGTTGTGTATGCAAAGTACCAATCGGTACTCAGAGTTTCATTCCTCGCGAACAAGAAATCTACTGTGCCAAGTGCTACGAAGAGAAATTCGCCACTCGTTGCATCAAGTGCAACAAGGTAAGAAAGTGTAAAGTCTGTTTTTTTTTAAATGGAAATTACCAAGTCAAAATTTTGGTGAAAAAATTGGTAGCAGCTTGTCTCCATAGCCACAAATTTTGTTTGCTCTTTGTTTTTGTTAAAAAAATATGATTATGTGTTCAAATTTAGATGTTGTCAAAATTTTGATTTTTATGAATCCTGTGTGTCTGTTTGCTCTTTGAAAGCGCTATAATTGAACACCTGAGGACAGATATTATTGCCTAAGGTCTAAAGACAGAATTCAGTGCTAATAATTTTGACAGAAACACACCGCAAGTAAGTACAGGGTGGGGCATCGGTTACGCGTAGAAAAGAAATCCCCACTTCTAATTAAATAAAATTGTTGAATTTTTTCACACTTACCTGGGCATTAGTAAGGTACATTCTCTAATTTTTTGGTAATTTTTCATGTACAAACAAAGCCAAAAAAAAATAAAAAGTAATTTTCTCCCAAAAAGTTTAATTCTAATTTTTATACTGACCTACGCAGATTCACTTCCTACAATTGTTTACAAAATCAGAGAAAAAAAATACCAATTAGATTTTGAATAAAACGCAATTTCCCATCTTAACTTTGAAAATAATTTTTATTTATGACCTGCTACTTGTGCCATTGTAAATTTAGGTGACAATGGGGAACTGCAATTGGGGTAAGATTCCAAGGTTTACAACAAAAAGACCCTTTAAAGCGGTCGGCTACCAGTAAATGATTCTTTTGTTGGCAAATTTTACCATTTTGTCATAAACCACTGGTCTGATTTGTGTTTAAATAAAAAAAGCGATTATTTGGATAACCAAGTCAAAATTTTAAATTGTGATATCAAAGTTTGATGCGCTAACAGGTACACATTAATTTAGTGTAAAAACTTTATAGGTAAATTAACAGAAAGTATTCATAAAACACACAAAACAGTTACGGACTCATTTATTATCAAAAACAATTAGAAAAATTCTCAAATTATACCATATCAATAATTAGTTAGGTATATGAAACATCGCCAGTTTTAATTAATTAGAAGTCGCGATTTATCAAGTGCGCGTAACCGATGCCCCACCCGGTATATACAGAAAAAAGTTATTTAGCAAAAGATAAAAGTAGGTATTATGATGCTTGGCAATAAATTTTGTGTAATTTATTGAAACGAGTTCAAAGTTGATGCATTTTATAAATTCTTCTTCAGTCTTAGTTTCAAAATTGTTACTTTTTCAACTCGTTCTTCAAAAAACGATGCACAAGACACTAATTTAATTGCGTTCTTTCCGAGGTTCTTTCTCATTCATGTTTATTTTGTATTTTTGTCAATTTCTTGCTAAAAATTAAGAATGTTTTGCAAACCTGCATTACAAATTGCGTCTACATTTTAACACATCCTTTTTCTAATTTCCTGCTTGCGAACTATTCGTTTCCAAATTTCGAAAAACTGCTAGTGTACCGAATTTGTTTCTTTTTTGGTGTTTCGTCTCTAAATTTTCTTAGACGATTTTTTGTGTTGACGTTTAATGACATTGTTTTCAAATTATTTCAAAAAACCGCAATTGCAAACTTCCTTTATTAAAATTACCATGAATGAATTACTAGTGGCAGGGGCGGACTGGCCAGGGGGCCCTCCAGTCTTACGGGCCCCCAATTATGGTAGGCTTATTATGTAAAGAGCTCATTGAAATAATATCAATAATTTTAAATTATTAAACAAACTTTCCACAATGCATAGAGCTAATCCATGAAGTGCTGAATTGCGTTTTTCGCAGAGGCTAAGTTTGAAGGAATTAAAAAATTGCCATTATAACAAATAAAACTATAATTTCTATAATTTTAGCTCAATTTTGTTTATAAGGTCTTACACGCATGTAAGAAAAATTCCACGTGGATTTATACAAATGATTCAAAAATTTGTGTCATAATTTTAATCACGATTACTCCTCTACAAATGAGCATAGATAGCACAGTATTTATTAATCCAACTCATCAAGCAATAGAAAAAACAGTTTTTATAGCTTTCAGCGCGTTTTAGAATTTAGTTTAAACTGAAATAACTCGAGAACGGTAATTTTAGCGATATGAAACTACCTTTTTTGCAAAAAAAAATGATTGGGCTTTTAATTTTTGATATCAAAAACAGAAATTAATAAGCCGAAAAGAAGTTAGGATACAAAAACTGGGAGGACCTATTGCTACCGGAAATGTATAGGTTCTACAAAACTTCCGTTTACACCAAATCAAAGAGTGTCTTTTTGTAATTTGTATTGTTGTAATTTTAATTAATTTTTTTTTAATTATTAGTGGGCATAAATAATGAAAAAATTTAATATAAGTATAAATTTGGTGCACAGAAAAAAAAAACAAAAATTAAAAGCCTCTGAAGACGTTCATCTAAAAACTTTATTTTCGTTTATTAAACCATAACGTCCCAATCACAATAGAGGAAACAAACTCCTTCAAAAAAAAAATTACTACATTAAGTGACAAGTAGTTTTTATACATATTTTTATTGTATTGTATACAAGGTGATTCTTTTAGGGCCTACATTAGAAACTTTTTAACTTCTAATTCAGATAGGAATTTGAAATTTTGTACACAACCCAAATCAACCAGTCTGAGTTCAACTAAATTATTTTCAAAATGGCTGAACTTCCGGAACTACTAGAAATTGGCGCCAACTTTGAAATTTTAAATGGTACCCACATATTTTTATTGCATTTTTGAATTCTCCTCTTTAAACTAAGTAAAATGTACCTAGTTGTTAGTACTTAACTATCATAGTTTTTGACATATGTCAATTTTTTGGTCAAAATTTTCACTTGCAGGGGTTCATTCAAAACATCACAGCTCTTTTTATTGCATTCGAAAACCAAAGGTTTTCTAGAATTTTCAAAACTGTCGACTGTCAAATTGCAAGGCTAGTATGATTTTTTGAAAATGATCATTAACAAACAGCTTTAACTCAGTTTTTTCAAATGAAATGACTCTATTTTCTCAACGGCAATCAAAACTACATCAATTTGTAGAAGGACTTTTATCAACATGTCCTATACCTATCTCTTACAGTTTTTGAAATAATCACAAAAAACATGTTAATGTTTTTATTTTTATTGTAATCACGTTGGCTTTGGAAAAATACAATAAGATATACCATAATTAATACAGATGTTCGATATGTTTACCACTTTCAAACAGTTCAAAACTCGATGGTGAACTGATTTGAGTGGCTTCCATTAGTTCATTTGGTTGAAGATTATTAAATGCCGCCTCAATCCTTGCCTCAATTCTTTGTAATTCCGGATGGGTGCTGTGTAGACTAATAAATCTTTAATTCGTCTTGATCATTTTCCAAAGGCTACGTGATTTACTATAAAAATAAAAAACAAAAACACGTTTTTCGTGATTATTTCAGAAACTGTAAGAGATGGATATAGGACATGTTGACAAAAGTCCTTCTACAAATCGATGTACTTTCGATTGCCGTTGAGAAAATGGGGTCATTTTATTTGAAAAACTGAGTTATAGCTGTTTGTTAAATATCATTTTCAAAAAATCATATAAGCTTTGCAATTTGACAGTTGACAATTTTGAAAATTTTAGGAAACTCTTCGAACCTTTGGTTATCAAATGCAAGAAAAATTATTTACTTATTGCAAACGGTTCAAGAGCTGTGATGTTTTTAATAAACCTCTGCAAATGAAAATTTTGAGCAAAAAATTGACATATGTCAAAAACTATGACAGATAAGTACTAACAACTAGGTACATTTTACTCAGTTTGGAGAGGAGAATTCAAAAATGCAATAAAAATAATTGGTTACCATTTAAAATTTCAAAGTTGGCGCCAATTTCTCGTAGTTCCGGAAGTTCAGCCATTTTGAAAATAATTTAGTTGAACTGAGACTGGTTGATTTGGGTCGTGTACAAAATTTCAAATTTCTATCTACATTAGAAATTTAAAAGTTTCTAATATAGGCCCTAAAAGAATCACCTTGTATTGGGCCCTCATTTCAACTTAGCACCCCATATAAAAATTTGCCAGTCCGCCCCTGACTAGTGGTGCCAACGTTAAGACTGTTTGGCATTTCCATTTAAAAAAAACAGACTATTTTGCTCGTAAAGTGTCACATTTTGCGTTTGCAGGTTATAACCAGCGGCGGCGTGACCTACAAGAATGAGCCCTGGCACAGGGAGTGCTTCACTTGCACCCATTGCTCGAAGAGTTTGGCGGGCGAGCGCTTCACCAGCCGCGACGAGAAGCCCTATTGCGCCGAGTGCTTCGGCGAGTTGTTCGCGAAGCGCTGTTTCGCCTGCAATAAGCCAATCACGGGGATTGGGGGCACGAAATTCATCTCGTTCGAAGACAGGCATTGGCACAACGATTGCTTCTTCTGTGCTTCGTGCCGCACTAGTCTAGTGGGGCGCGGGTTTATCACCGATCAGGATGATATCATCTGTCCCGAATGCGCCAAGCAAAAGTTGATGTAGATTTTTACAGATTTCTTTTTTTTTAACGATTCAGTGACCATAATATGACAAGTTAGCACCGTAAGAAATGGAAAACATTTCATGTTATACACGCACACACTACACACAAACACACATCTTACACTACCGAAAAAATATAAAAGAAAAACTACAAAAAAATACAGTATTTGTTTTTTTAATTTGTTAGAAAGGTTAGAGTAAATGTATTTATTTTTGGAGGATTTATTTTTGTTTTGCCATATTAAGCCAGCAATATTGGACCGTGGAATATTCTAAATTTTAACATTACACAGACAGTTGCCTTAAAATTTTAATATCGGATAGTAGAAACTTATCAATATATATTTGTTATTGAATTACGGTTGTTATTGCTTCTTAACTGTTACTCTAAGTGTTTTGACAATTTTTTATTGTATATTATTATTACTACTGTAGATAATGTACACAGCTTTATAGCATTTATGAAATGAGCAACTTTGGTGCTATTTGAGTAGTTAGTTTTTTTTTTAATTATTATTATTATTTTCTTATTTTCTAGTTACTGTTCATTCGGTAAATCCTAGTTAAATGCTTCATTAACAGAAATGTTTTTATTAATGTTGATAAATAAACATACATAATATTCGTTTAGAGTTTAACTTTCATTTGTTAAATGTACGTATTGGTAAATTTGGATTGTTAAAATTTGTTATGCTTTTAAAATACAAGTACAGGGCTTTGCTTTAGGGTTATTATTGTTATTTTTAATTCCACAATAAATATCGTGACGAAAACAGTGTTTCAACAAAAACTCCCAATTTTCACCCAAAGGTAGGCAACACTTTAAAGTGGATTATCTTTTACGAGTTTTGAGGTGATTTTAATGTTAATAGGACATGTGATAAGCAGCATTTTGTTTCTATTTAAAAACATTACAGTAAGTCAGCTTTATATAAAGTAACAAAATAACTATTTTGGTGTATACAAGTTTCTTGTTTTTTGAAAATTTCAAGTTTTTAGTAGATTTTTAATATTATGCTTAGTAATTAGCATTTTAATTTTATTTAAAGACATTACTTTAAATCAGTTTAAAAAAATATTTTTTTTTATTTTCGTGTTGTTGAAGGCAATTAGGCAATACATTATACACGTATCTAATTTGTTTAAAATGTTTTTTGTAGATTTTTAGTAAATTTTAAATAAAGTAACAATTTAAAAGTACCAATTCGAATTTTAGGCTGAAATAAAGCAATTTGTGATATTCTCAAGCGGTTTGGCTTTATTTTAATCCGGAAGTTAACCTGAATCAAAATATTTCAACACAATAATGTTTTGAATAAAAGTTTTCTTCCAAAATAAAACAATTTGAGCTATTTTAAATCCAATTTTTCTTGATTTTAATACAGAATTAATTCGAAATTAATGTATTTTATAAAAATAATTGCTTCAATCTTAATTTTAGGCTGAAATAAAGCAATTTGTCATATGTTCAATCGATTTGCCTCAATTTTAAGTCGGTAATCAAACTGAATCAAAGTATTTCAACCAAATACTGGCTTCAATGAGAGTTTTCTTCTAAAATAAAGCAATTTGAGCTATTTTTAATTCAATTTTTCTAGATTTAATACAGAATCATTTCGAAATTAATGTTTTTTATAAAATTAATTGCTTCAATTTTAATTTTAGGCTGAAATAAAGCAATTTGTGATATTTTCAATCGATTTGGCTCAATTTTAAGTAGGGAATCAACCTGAATCAAAGTATTTCAACCAAATACTGGCTTGAATAGGAGTTTTCTTCTAAAATAAAGCAATTTGAGCTATTTTCAATTCAATTTTTCTCGATGTTTATACAGGCAACATATTATACACGTTTCTTGTTTGTCGAAGATTTCAAGTTTTTAGTAGATTTTTATTATTATGCTTAGTAGTTAGCATTTTAATTTTATTTAAAGACATTACTTTAAATCAGTTTTAAAAAAAATTGAATTTTTTATTTATTTTCGTGTTGTTGAAGACAATTAGGCAATACATTATACTCGTGTCCAATTTGTCTAAAATGTTTTTTTTTTTTATTTTTAGTACATTTTTAATATTTTTGCTATTGATTTCACATTTGGGAACTAGCTTTTTAGTTTTATTTAAAACCATTATCTCAAATCAGCTTTTGATAAGAAAAAAATTTGAAAATCCCGCCTTTGGTGTGGCACTATGCAACCAGCCGGTTTCCTTAATTTTACAAAGTTGGCACTGAAATCGGTGATAGGTGGAAAAAGCAACTTTCATCGAGCTGGTTATCGAATTACTTCACAAAAATGTCTTCAAATTCAATAGAAAGCGAGGTAAGGCCTCAATATTTCCAATTTTACAAAGGTTAATTAATATTTCCATCATTAATTGTTGATGTTTTCTGAGATTTGTCACAAGTCCCGGCAAATTCTGCCATATTGTATTTCACATGACTATCACTTGTAATTTTTTTCGCAATTTCTTTTGCTTTCCCAGAACGAAAAAAATGACTTAAAGACTGAAAACGATGTGGACATCGCGATGGATTATTCCATCAAACACCCGCTTCAAAACTGTTGGACACTTTGGTATTACGAGAATGACAGGAGCCAGACATGGGAGAAGAACCAGAAGGAAATCGCCTCGTTCCAAACTGTTGAGGACTTCTGGAGGTAGTTATTCAGTCTTTTGGGGCCCTAACAAGTGGCAAATTTCAGTTTATACAATCACATTAAGCCGGCAAGTGAGCTGAGACAAGGCAACGACTACTCCCTGTTCAAGAGGGGGATCAGGCCCATGTGGGAGGACGACGCGAATAAACGGGGGGGCCGTTGGCTCATTAATTTAGACAAGAAACAGAGGAACAATGAGCTTGATCGGTACTGGTTGGATATTGTAAGTTGTTGCATAATGCCGACTAAATTTCACACTTGACCTCTTTAAGATTTTGTGTTTAATTGGTGAAGCTTTTGAGCATTCGGATGAAATCTGCGGGGCCGTAGTCAATATTAGAGGAAAGGGTGATAAGATTGGTATTGAATCATTTTTGTAGTCGGGTCAAATTAGTCATAAAAATAGTGGTCAAATAACGAAAATTCCGACAGAGCTAAATTTTGGTGGATACCTTGGGTACACCATTAGAAATAAAGTGTCAAAAGTCCCCATCGATCCCATGTGTGCTAAAAAAGTTATTCGGGGTCAAAGGTCAAAATTTGAGGTTTTTTAATTTTTTTTCGAAAACGGTAAGTTTTATCAAAAAAGTAGCCCAGACAAAAATTATAGATCTTAAAATTATTTACAAAAATGGTCTTTATACTTTTTTTCTAATAATCACTGAGATATCGCGATTCTAAAAGTTGAAGGAGTAATGTTCTACATCATATGCACATACAGAGTGCGTCAGAACTCGCACCCCAAAGACAAATACCATGTAGGGTAAGCTACCAAGAACATAGAAAGAATTTAAAAAAAAAATCTATATAAAAATTTCCAAGTTATGAGAGTTTAAATTTTGCACTTTGACTCTTACTTATTTCTGTAGGATAAATAATTTTCCACGTTTTTTTGCTACAGGCTATTAGAAGCGGAAACAAGGAAGCTGTATCCTAAACTCTGTTTAATGTTATTTGTGGCTTTTATTGACAAAATTTTTGTACCTTTAGTAAATAATTATAAAAAAACATATACAAGGTCATCAGTATTATTAAATAGACATAAAAAAATGTTAAATGTCAAAAAAATTTGAGAGATAGAATTTTTTAAACATTTTTTCAGTACTCTGGGGACTACCCAATTACTCCCTTTCAAGGAAGTGCGCGATTTATTGAACAACCTGTATTTATTACCAAATAAATTATTTTTAATTCTAATGGAATCGAGATATTTAAAAGTTTAATGAAGTAGAAGAAAAATCTCAAGTAAGATAAAACACCAGAAACATGGAAAATCTGTAAAAAAAATTTGCCTCCTTCAATTTTTAGAATCGCGATATTTCAGAAATGTTGATTCTTAGAAAAAAAAAGTATAAGGACCATTTTTGTAGATAATTTTAAGATCTATAATTTTTGTCTGGGCTACTTTTTTGATAAAACTTACTGTTTTCCAAAAAATTTTAAAAACGTCAAATTTTGACCTTTGACCCCGAATAACTTTTTTAGCACACATGGGATCGATGGGGACTTTTGACACCTTATTCCTAATGGTGTACCCAAGATCTCCACCAAAATTTAGCTCTGTCGGAATTTTAGTTATTTGAAATGTCTATTTTGACCGGACTATTGTAACTTGGGTGTAAATTAAATGTGGGTTTTTAGGAGTTTGGACCTCTGATGCCACCAAAAGCGCGGCGGTCATAGAAATCGGGAAGAAGTTAAAGGAACGGCTGCATATACCCCCGAGGACGGTTTTAGGATACCAAATCCATAAAGACACTCAGGATAAGTCCGGTTCTGTTACCAAGAATTCATACACTGTTTAACCACAAACATTAGACTAACCGTTGAAATGTTTTCGTTTTGAGAATGTTCTGATACATTTTGTATTGGTATTTAATTTCCTTTGGTTTATTTGAATATATTTATTTCATTTTCTACTTTATTACGCTTGTATTCTGTATGAAGTTGAGATGGCAGAATGTTGTTGTGTTTGTACATACATTAAAAGAGACAACTTGTTTAACTTTACATTTTTATAAAAAATAACAGTAACAAAATTATAAATTATGCGAAGTCAAATATTTCCTGCACTTTCAATCTGAGGTCCTGACGCCTTGCCTCCCCTAGTGCCTCCAACAGTTTACTATGCCACCTAAACTTATCACAGTTTTGTTCATGAAATGCCAAGATTTTGTAAACTCGTGCTGATATGCTTCTCACATTTCGATCCAAATGGTCTATATCACCCTCTAAGACACCTAAAGCTCTAGCGAAATCGTTCCATTTTTTGCCTATGCCCTCAGCAATACATTTGTAGGCTCGATCTTTGGCACTTTTTGGTATTCTAGCAAAACCTGAATCCACACATTTATTTTATTAACAATTTCAAGTGACCAAATACCTGAATGTTCCTGATTAACGTGATTATCATTAAGTTGAAGGCTGTTAAGACTTTGTAACAGTTGCGGTTGTTTTAATTCACTGGCGATGTCAATCAAAATTTTGGTATTACCAGAATTGAGATAATCCCGTTTTTCCAAAACTTTTATAAGCTCCGATAGTGACCGTATGTGCTCCAGTCTTCGGGTAGAGTTGATCACAGTTTGGTACCTCTCTTTCAGGATTTTTAATTGTTCACTTGAACAACGTATGCTTGAAATTTCATTGCACACCATTTTATAGTTGGAGTTTGTTGACATCATTTAGTGGTCAAATAAAACACATTCAATAGATAATTTTGGCATAATTCTATTTTTAACCTCAATCTGTCAATAACGACAAATGACATTTGAAATCAATGCTGCTAGGCCACTTTGGTGTCGAAAACGTGCCAACCGAGACACGAAATTCCCCACTATCTATTGTTAAAAATTTCGAGTTATTCCTAGTCACTTCTTAAAAATAATCAACTCATTTGTAACATAATAACAATAAAACCAACTTCAACAATTTTTTGTAATTTTTGTTAAACTTATTTTTTTATCGAGTGTATAAATGGTTGCATATATATAGTACATGTCATAATTTAGTATTTTTTAGTTAATTGTGGTGAAACTGGAAAAAAAGGGTAAAAGGGCAATTACTAAAATGTACTGATCAATTCATGAATCAGGTTGTTTTCACTATTTCTTGTTTCTTTGCTGTGGTATTTTAATTTCGACTACGTTCAAAGTGCTAATTGGTTTCGCAAATAAAACTTTTTTTAATTGCAGCCAAGGAAATTAATAGTACAAATATTTTTATGGAATGTGATGGTAGCAGAGGTTTGGCTAAGCAAAATACAATTACGTTTCGTGGACATTATAATGACACCGTTTTTGTGTTAACATTAGGTAAATTAAATGTGCTATTGGTAATCTCTACAAGGCAGGTATTACAAAATATTTTTTTTCTCTTGAAATAATCGACAAAAACCATTTCCGGCCAAATACAGGTAAAAGAATAGCAATCATTTCACATTCAAGCAAAAAAGGGTTTTACCCCATCCCAATAAAATTCCACCTGGTATTTGCACAATCAACCTGTCCCTTTGGACCACCCGCAGCCCTGGACAGTTTTGCGCCCAAGAAACGCAGAAAACTCTTCATATCTTCATTACCCACGGCGCATTTAATGATCGTCGTATAATCCGGGAAGATCAAAGCGGCCGCTGGTCCCACAATCCGGGAGTAATAAAGACATTAAAACAAGTGCTTCTGATACCTGTCCTCTTTTACAACTATTTGGCCTGCAATAAACCATCGACGCCGACGCAATTTCGAAGGGACGACTTTTTTTTCTCTCTCCGAGGAAAATCACTAAACCAACACCGACCAACCGGTTTTTGGTTCACCAAATTTTTACGTGTAATGTGAAATGTACACAGCAAGACTTTAAAAATAGAGAAGGCGATTGCAGCCCAGCTAGACGTAGAGAGGTGATAATTGGTTGAGCACACCGGAGGAACGTAACTGGCACTACTGACGGACCCGGACTACACTTTACGGGAAAATCAACGAGAACAAAGAGTTCACACGAAACACATTCCCAAAAAAATTTTCTTATAACTCAAAACACATTAAACATTTTAACGTAACAAAATTTCACAAAAATTTACTTTTTTGGGAATACCAGTTCCCAACGACTTTCGACGCCTATGAGAACGAAAGATGAAAAAATTATTACCTAGTTGTCATAGTAACCAATATGTATCCATGGTTACCAATGACATTTCTAATTCAAACACCGTGGTTGTCATAGTAATGAAAATGTATCCATGGTAAATAGGTCATGAACGTTCGTCAAATGTTACAAAAGAACAGTTCACATTCTCCTTACGAAAAACTAAGGATTGCTTTTAAAAAAATGTGTAAAAAGATTCCATTCTCCAATGATTTTCGACGGCCATGTTTGTAAAATATTATTTTCTAGGAAATTATTTTGGTTGTCGTGGTAACCAATACGTATCCATGGCTACAAACCACGTAGTCATAGTAACCACAAAAAAGTCATGAGCGTGGGCCACTTTTTTTAAACGGGAGCAAATTTTCAAAAAAATTAATTTTTGATTAACAATGTTAAAAAAATTGTATTTTTTCCACGTTTCGCACCAATTGCCTGAAGATGATGATTCAGCGTCGTTGAGATCCACCTGTAGCTGTCCATGCCGTCGAATGGTGGCCAATGGAGAGTCGTGGGTGTGGTCTATGCGACTTCATCGATGGCAGCAGCCCGAGAGTTTTAGTGATGTTGGCGATAATATGTTAAGATCTCTAAAATGTAAGAAGTACTTATCGATTTGGTGTGAAATAATGACAAATAATATATAATAAACGTTTAATTTACAAAATCCCGAGGTGTGTGTTTATCAAATAAGCATCTAGTGTATGATTGACATTTTAAATAACTAAATGTATCAATTAATTATGTTAATTTTTTTAATAAATCGGTGTGAGAATTAATTGTGCGACGCTGAGTTTAACGCCATACATGAGGAACGCAGGTAAGTGTGAGCGACTTCGATGCTGCGTCAAGAGACGAACCCAAAGCGATTTTTCGCTCGAGACTCGAAGCTTATTTTTTTTTTTTAATTTAATGTGGTCAAGAAGCAACAAATAGAGAGTAGAAATCATTAAAGTTTCCATTTGTCAGCTTTTAAATTCGTAATTTCATTGATCCCAATGAAATGTGCAAATAGAAAGATTTCTCTAACATTTTCTTTGAAGCGACTAAGCGAGTCCTTCGTGTTTAATGACACTTTGAGTTTCTAGGTCATTTTGGTAGTGTAGCTCGAGGACACAATCATACAGTTTTTAAAATTTAATTAAGAAAGAAACATTTAGAAAATTTTCCTGAAACTAAAGCTGAAACCTATGAAATCTAAGCCTCTGATGTTTGCCGTCGCTTATAACTTTCTTACTGACTTATCGATAAATAAAAAAAACACAAAATTCAACAAATCATTATCAAATACAACTTTACAACTTAAATAATTCTCCAAAATAATGATCTAAAAAAATTTGTTCAAATTTTACGTGCGCGCGTCGGAACAAACACAGAATGTTATGATAAAATCAAATTTTTCTAACTTAATAATAACATAAAAAACTTCAAGATACCACTTGTAAAAAGCATTCGACGATTGTGTGAATTTTTCTACAAGGTGAATAAAAAGTAGAGAACTAAGCGCTTTTTTCTTAATCATCATTTGCCTACAAAATAATAATTAAAAAAAATGTATAATTTTTTGACAAAATCACAACTTATACAGGGTGCACCAGAACTCGCGCCACAGAAAAAAATGCCATGTAAGGTACATAAAAAAAATAAAAAAAAATCTATCTGTAAAAGTTTCGAAGTTATGAGAGATTAAATTTTGCACTTTGTCTCTAATTATTTATGTTGGAAAATAATTTTCCCAGTTTTTTTGCTACAGGCTGTTAGAAGAAGAAACAAGGAAGCTGTATCCTAAATTCTAACTCTGTTTAATGTTATTTGTGACTTTTATTGGCAAAATTTTTGTACTTTTACTAAATAATTATAAAAAAACATATACAATATCATCAGTGTCATTAAATGGACATGAAAAAATGTCAAATGTCAAAAAATTAATGTCAAAATTTTTTGACAGATAGAATGTTTTAAACAGTTTTTCCATTTTCCTGATATTTTATCTTACTTGAAAATTTTCTCTGGGACGCGAGCTTTGGCGCACCCTTTATAAAAAAATATGCGATAAAAATTAAATAAAATGTACTTAGATACATCATACATAGTTGTAATCTTTACATTGCTTAAGAAACTAAAAATTTTGCAGAACTCAAAAACAAATATGTATAATTGAAAAATTTTATTCATGAAAAATGTGAAATTTTTATGGTACCTACTTAATCTTTAATCAATTAGATTTTTCAAAAAATAAATTGGTCCATATTTTTTATTCACCCTGTAGGTATGTAAAATATAGATATTATTGCGGTTCAATATGCTCCTATAGTAACATTTATGTTCCATTACTCTAATTGTCATAGAAACAAACATGTATCTATGGAAACAAAATAAAATTTATAAACCATAGCCGTAAATAAAAAAAAATGTGCTATTAAAAAAATCAAGTAAACTTTGCATCTACAGAGATTTAAAAAAATCCGTTTTTATCATTATTATTTTCATTGATTTTATATTTTTTTTTTAAAAAAAGAGAACAATTGATTTATTATTAAAGATAAGTTTGAAATAATTTCGTTATAGAAAATACTGAATTGTTGTAGGTATACTGTAGTAGCTAATTTAAAACACACTTTATAAATAATTCTCTAATACGTAGGTCAGTCTGAAAATAGTGAGCCTTGACTATTTCTGGTCATTTGACAGATGTCAAATATTTTTTTCTGAATTCTCTGAAGTTTTTTATTCAGATAACCGTTTACGGATCTCAAAACTTGTTGATCGTTTGTTCGTTGWAATTTTTTGAAAAACATTAGTTTTATCGAAATATGGATTTGAACCGAGAACACTTTCGAGCCATGATCTTTTACGACTTTCGAGATTCGCTGTCTCGCCAACAGTGTTCAGAAAAACTTTTTCGTATATTTGGCAAGAAGGCCCCTTCATACGCTACTGTGAAGCGATGGTACAACGAATTCGAACGAGGTCGAACTTGGTTAACAGACGATTTTCGTGAAGGACGTCCTTCAACCGCAACCACTCAAGAAAATGTTAATGCTGTGCACCGCATGCTTACGGAAAATAATCGTTGCACCTATGATGATATTCAAGGGACTCTGAAAATTGGCAGGAGTCAAGTCAAAAAGATCCTTCATGAAAACTTGGGTGTCAGAAAGGTGTGTGCTCGATGGGTGCCTCATGACCTAACATTAGATGAAAAAAAAGCACGTGTGAACTGGTGCAAGAAAATGCTCACCAAATTCAATAATGGACAGTCAAATCATGTGTTCGACATTGTGACAGGTGACGAAACTTGGATTTACCGTTACGAACCTGAAACCAAGCGTCAGTCCGCACAGTGGGTTTTTCCTTACGAAGAAAATCCAACTAAATTGAAACGTCCGAAAAGTGTTGGTCGGAAAATGATCGCAGCATTTTTCTCTAGATCCGGTTACATTGCAACAATTCCACTTGAAGACAGAAAGACTGTCAATGCAAACTGGTACACATCCATTTGTTTGCCACAGGTCTTTGAAAAAGTGAGGGAAAAGAGGCCACGAAGTGAGATCATCCTGCATCATGACAATGCGTCCTCCCACACTGCTGGTGAAACGCTTGACTTTTTGAACGAATCAGGAATAAAAATAATGACCCATCCACCCTACAGTCCCGATCTGGCTCCCTGTGACTTTTTTTTGTTCCCGACAATTAAAAACAAAATGCGAGGCTTGACTTTTGATTCCCCTGAAGCTGCCGTAGACGCGTTTCAGAACTTAGTTAATGAGTTGCCTTTAGAGGCGTGGATTCAATGTTTTGAAAATTGGTTTTACCGAATGGAAAAGTGCATTTCATGTAAAGGAGAGTATTTTGAAAAGCAATAAATCAGTTTGGTTAAAAAATGTTTTGTTTGTTAATAGAGGCGCAAAATTTGTAGACTGACCTACGTATAAAAAATAGTTTTTTTCTTTTGATACTAATATGCGCCTCTGTTGGTATTTGGTATAATTTTAAAAATGTTAAAGCACAGATTTAAGCGTTTTTTTTGTATTACTCAGCTTTTACCGTCGGACTTTTCTAATGCTTCTTCAGACTGAGCATTTTTTTCGAAAATTTCTCTAACTCGTTTTAAAAGTCAAGCAAATATTTGTCTTTTTTAAGGTTTTTTTTATCAAAAATTTATGAAAATAACAATTTTCCCTCTTAACACTTTTAACTAATAATCTGGCACTAGTGGTACTTACTTTATTCCCCCGAGAATAAAATAAATAAAACACCGATTATTAAATTGAATCCTTTGGGTGTTTTTTTGGCATAAACCAACTCTTTGATACCGATTTATGCTCTTAAAATTGCAATGAAATGAACTGAATATTTTCACAAATTATTTGATATTATTTAGAAATTTATCATTTTATGTTAGTATTAATTTAGTTTGTTGAAAAGAAAGTTTGGTATGCATCTCTGGAATAAACATTTCTTGAATAAAAATTAGGTACTACCTAAAGTCTGTTTTTTTTTAATGAAAATGCTAAACAGTCTTACCGTTGGCACCACTAGCAATTCATTTATGGTAATTTTAATAAAGCAAGTTGGCAGTTCCGGTTTTTTGAATTAATTTGAAAACAATGTCATTAAACGTCAACACAAAAAATCGTCTAAGAAAATTTAGAAACGAAACACCAAAAAAGTAACAAATTTGGTAGCGATAATGTTTTTAGAAATTTGGAAACGAATAGTTCGCAAGCAGAAAGTTAGAAAAAGGGCCCGTTAAAATGCTCAACATTCTTAATTTTTAGTAAGAAATTGACAAGAATACAAAATAAACATGAATGAGAAAGAATGCAATTAAATAGTGTCTTGTGCATGGTTTTTGAGAAACGAGTTGAAAAAGTAACAATTTTGAAACTAAAGCTAAAGAAAAATTTATAAAATGCATCAACTTTGAGCTCATTTCAATAAATTACACGAAATTTATTGCCAATCATCATAATACCTACTTGTATCTTTTGCTAAATAACTTTTTTCTGTATATACACCCTTTTTTATTAAAGTTTTTGTAGCAAGAACTTTTTTTTGTACTTACTTGCGGTGTGTTTCTATCAAAATTATTAGCACTGAATTCTGTCTTTAGACCTTAGGTAATGATCTCTGTCCTAAGGTATTCAATTATAGCGCTTTCAAAGAGCAAACAGTCACACAAAATTCATAAAAGTCAAAATTTTAACATCTCAATTTGAAAACATAACCATAATTTGTTAACAAAATTTCTAGGGATAAAAACAAAGAGCAAACAAAATTTGTTGCTATGCTACCAATTTTTTCACCAAAATTTTGACTTGTAATTTCCATTTAAAGAAAAAACAGACTTTACAATTTCGGGATTAAAATTGTTGTTTAATTCCTTAATAACTACAGGAGTATTTTGTTGTGGTTGCATTGTAGAGTTTTAAAGTTGATATAAATTGATTTTGGAAATCTTTCCTCTATTTACCGACGATCTTTAGCACAATCACTGTTTGGAAAACTCCAAATTGCGATGATTTGTTGTCCTCATGACGTCTCAGATAAACAATTAAAAATTGATCAGTCAGTCCTCCGAACAAATATCGTCTAATATGTAAAGTACCAGGTACGGTAGCATCCCAATATAGCGACTTGTAAGAGTCACGCATCGTAATATGTACACTGCACATTAGTGGACTCCATTACAAATGCAGAAGAAATCTCAACTTAACGATATTTGTCCAACGTCACCGCGTGAACAAACACCGAATTTTATGCCTTTTTGGCCGATCATCAATATTTGATCGCGAGCTTTCTATATGAATTTATAAATAATGAGCCAACATGACCTTTGGCGAAATCTCAAACACGAAAAAATTGTTTCAGTTTAGACTTCGCCATGGCCCAGCACATCCTCTCAGCCGTCGAATCCGAGATCACATCTGGGGGAGGAAAAAACAAAGGCGATCCAACCGAACGCGATTTGATCGTCACTCTAGATGACAGAGATCTTTGGCTGCGATTCGAATGTTTGACCAACGAAATGATCGTCACGAAGAACGGCCGGTAAGTTTCGTTTTGCGGAAGTCGCAAATACCTTTTTTACAAACCACTACTTGTGTTATTGTTGAATCATTAACAAGCAAATAACAACCTGAAATCTAATAATGTTGTGTTAATTATTACCAACACTCGGCCTTAAAGCGCACAACACTAATTTGATTGCTCAAAAAATTATATAACATTTTAATAGAGTTTACAGAGTGGTTTAGTTTTGCGGAAAACATTTATTTCGTTTGGCTAAAGAAAAGTGTAGGTAGCAGAGACGATTCTAATGAAGCTTTATTTCTATTGCCGTTAACGCAAATATTTGAATAACAGTTGAATTGTTTTGCGAAATGAAACTGTCCCCAACTACTACAAAAGGTCATTTGAAACTAATTATTAGCATCAAATTATGTGAAAATAATTTAAAAAAAATATTTTTTATTAATTGACATAGAACAAACACAATACACACGAGTATTGTTGGTTGCATAACACAATTTTATTTAATAGTGTCTTTTACATTTTTTTTGATTTAGACGCATGTTCCCGGTGGTGAAGGTCACCGCCGCCGGCCTCGACCCCAAGGCCATGTACACCGTCCTCCTGGAGTTCGTCCAGATCGACCCCCACCGTTGGAAATACGTGAATGGGGAGTGGGTTCCTGGGGGCAAAGCGGAAGTTCCCCCTTCCAACCCCATTTACATCCACCCCGAGTCTCCAAATTTCGGTGCCCACTGGATGAAAGAATCCATTTCTTTCGCTAAAGTCAAACTCACGAATAAATCCAACGGAAATGGTCAAATCATGCTCAACTCCCTTCATAAATACAAACCGACTGTTCATTTGGTCCGAGTTGGCACTGAACCCCGGAGAGTTATGACGTTTCCGTTTCCGGAAACTCAATTCATCGCCGTCACGGCCTACCAGAACGAAGAAGTGACCGCTTTGAAAATTAAGTATAATCCGTTCGCCAAAGCCTTCCTCGATGCGAAAGAACGCCCAGATAGTATATACCAGAGGGAGTATTCGCCGACTTTTACCCAACAACAGACCCAGTACTCCCAGTATGGGTCATGGTTCCTGCCTCATCAACCCATCTACCCGGCTGTAACCGCAACGGTGCAACTATCAACATGCACAAGAACCACGTTAAAAAACAACCGAGCATCGCCGTATCCCATGCAACGCCCCAAGTCGGCCTCCCTCTCACCCCCACCACACGGTAAAAACGCCCACTTTACTTAAATCACGACTTGATTGGTCATTTTCAGTGTACAACCCTCCGGATCACATCCAACAAGCCACGCCTTACACCGCATCAGGCCCCACCTACTCCACATGGTCCACTGTTCAACCCCAAACCCCCACCACTATAATGAGTCCTACGATTAACTGTTGGTCCCTCACTTCGAGTCCCCCACCACCGTATCAAATCTCAGCCCAGCCCACTCCTAGCCAATCCCCCAATCAAATTTACCAACCCGTTACAAACCTAACCAATCTCTCGTATCCTGGGTATTACAACCAGGACGTTTCATGCACACACTACCAAAACCCTGAGTACATTTCGGTAGTCAACCCAGAAAGTCCCTACCCACAAATCGGATCAGATCGAGCCACGCCTGTTGGCTACCACCAGAACGAAGTAGGCGGAGTTATCGACGACGGAGGGAGTGGCCAAAACCAACCGGAATCGCCCGAATCAAGCTCGAGCACCCCACGACACGAATGGGTCGCTCAAAATCATCTATAAATTTGTAAAATTGTAAATAGAGGAGTGCAAAGTAATGTTGTTTTATTTAAATTTGGCGCCAAAGCGGGTTGCCTAGCAATGGTTGCTGTGTTTACAAAATAACAAACAAAAAAGTTTGTGTGTTTGTAGATGGAAAGAATTAAGGGTTTTTTGTACCAAATGGTCAATTTTCGTGCCCCCTGTGGCAACGAAATACCAGAAGAGGTCAATTTCAACCATGTGGTCACAATTGACGAAGCCGGAAGACGGTAAGTACCCAAAAATTTGGTCAAAATTGCCCTAATTGTACCACAGGGCTTCAGTAACGCGAAATGAACAAAGGAAAAGAAAGGTTGGAATAATATTCGATCTCCTATTTTGTACTTTTATTATTCTTCTATGGGTAATTGCATTATCTCTTCTCACACGAACTGGTGTTGAAAAATCCAACGAAGAGTTCTTTTATTTCGGTACAATCACTCACAGTTAAATAAAACTAAACTAAACTTGATTAAATAGGTTACTTCGTGTTAGTTCTGGTGATTACAGTAACCGGGGTTTATTTTGAAGCTTTGATTTTGCGAGGTTTTGAACGAATTACTCCAAAACTGGCTGTTTGTCTCCGAAAAAGTCTGGTTAAAAGGCCGTACGTTTTAAGAATGCGTGTTTTCAAGTATCCCGAGGAAGATTTTATTGAAACAGAACTCGACGAAAGTCAGTTGACGCTTGAAGGAGTTTTGGAGTTGTGTGCTAAGGAGTTGGGGTTGCAGAGAAAGGATATTACACGTGTGAGGAAACTCCCCGAGACGAAAATACGAAGTGATGCCGATGTTAAAAGATTCCGCCGTTTGGAGTACTTGGAAGTTATTTCTTAATAAAATAGATTAAAACTTGTAACTGTGACTTATAAATCGCCTTCTGTTTTTTGCAATAGCATAAACCATGGCTTCGAGACTAATCGTGTTACTGAAATTGCGTTGACAGCTTCGCACTTTCTTCAATTTCTTCCCTTGGACGAAAAACGTCTCCATTAACCCTTTTCCTTTCACTCGGACCAATCCCCGTTTCTTCAATTCGTACCCCTGACGCACCAACAACTAAACCAAAAATCACACTTCTGGGAAGTACCGAAAAACTAACCTGGGCTGTGTCTTTGGGTACTTGGATTTGACCCATAAGGCCAGTGCTGTCCATCCGCGAAGCTTCGTTCACAGTGTTGCCCCAGACATCAAAAATCGGTTTCTTAGCCCCAATGACACCACAAACAAGGTCCCCGTAGGAGACTCCCGCCCTCAGATTAAACCGATTGAAAGAGTCGCGATTGATTTCTTCGAGTCGCTGTCGCAGGGTTAAAGCAAAGTCGATGAGGGCCCCCAAATGCTCAGGGGTGTCTCCGATAAGGGGGTCGCGTTGGGTGGAGGGGTTGAGCCCTGAGACGGCCATGTAAGTCGCGGTGGCGCTCACAGTTTTGATTTTTTCGATGGAACTGAAGCGCTCGTCGTCGAGGACTTCGTCAAAAGTTGCTAAAATTCTAATCAAATAAAAAAAAATAATGATGAAGATTATACCAATAATTTCGTTGAGGAGTCTCAGACATTCCAAACCTTTTTCTTCGGAGTAGAATTTAAAAAAGTTTGGAATTGTGGCAAAAAGAACACCAATTCCGGTACGTGACTGCGAATAGAGTTCCTGAAAATAGCAATAAAAAGTTGGTTTCCTGAAAATTGGGAAATTACCTCGTTTCTGTATTCCCGACTCAGGAAATGCTTGGCGACGTGTTCTGGAAGAACATTAGTCAACAACTGCATGTTTGTTTGGCGAGTTGCTTGCATTCCATCGAGTTCGATTTTGGCTTTATGTTTCCATAAAAAATACAAACGTGAAGTGACTTCAATCAACCTCGCGTGATAGAAAATTAAAAGAAAAAATGTTACCAAAAGTACTGGAAACTGTAAGTGTTGCAAAATGCTGAAAAACGATGGATTTTGTCTCGTATTTTGTTCCCAATTTGCTTACTCTGTATCTGAAGGGAAAAAAAAAATTCTGTAAGGCCCGATGCTTACTAAAATCGCATACAAGGATACTATAAGCAATGCTAACGTTATTTTAATCCTGTAATTGATCCTTATTGCTGTGGCTAAAGCGAAAAGATATATAATCCACGAAAAAACCACGTTTTCAGGATGTCCATCTTCCTTTAAATTTTTGACTTCTATTATTAAAGTCAAAACACCTGATATTGACATAATTATAACCACAGTTGCAAGAACTGCAGTTCGACGCCTTCTGTTATAACTTAAAAAACTTGTAATTTTTTTCACGCATTTTGGAAAATATTTATATTGGTCTCCTGCTATCACAAGCGTCATTACAGCCAGAAAAACGGTGACTGTTATGAAAAGAATTTCCAACGATTCATCCCTAAAATCACCCATTAATTTAAAGCCAAATTTGTTACTTATTTTATACAAATCAAAGATAATTATTTGGCAAATTGAGGCAAAAATCCACATTATGAAACAGCAAACTATATTAGATCTGTACATGTCATTTTTGATTTCAGTGTACTAAAAAAAATGATAAAATGATAAGTGAAACTAATTTTTGATATTCTACTTGATGTTCCAATTCCTCGTCCACAAATCTCAATGTCAGTTTATTAAGGAACGTCCATTGTTGTTTTAAACTAGTTTCGATCACGTTCGTAATCGTATCATTACATTGGGGTGCTTCAATTTCAGATTCTCTCCTTGAAACGTCGTATTTTCCCTTAGTTTTTGAAATACAAGTGAGGTTTTCGTTGCTGTTATCCTCGCTTAACGCCCTTTGTAGCTGCAAAAACTCGATAATTTTACTTTTTGAGGAATTTTTCTTACGTTTCTGAAGGGAATCTCCGGGATCCAGTCCACATTAATCGACTGTCTTTTCGGGGGCGGAGTGGCGATTTTGGGCAACTCGAGGTTCTCATAAACCGGATCTTCGACAATAAAATAAGTTTGGATGCAATTTTTGCGTAAAAGTGAGTCCTTTTCGTTGCCGTGTCCCGGCTCGACTGTGAAATTCTTGGTCAAAGCGTGAAAAGTGGCGTCGGAGATGTGCACTCTCCTGAAAAAAATTGTAACCCTTGATAAGATCTAAGATCTGAATTAAGGTCACCCTTCACCCATTTGGTTACCGGATTAAACTTATTTTTTATCAAATTTAATATGCAAAAGGATATATTGCGAATGGGTTGCCTAAAAAATATGTTCAAGGATATGACTAATTAAACATACAAAAACATTTTTTTTTAAATTATTTCGCCCACTTGCTTACCAAAAAAATTAAATACCAATCGAAAGTATGAAGCCTAAGGAATATAAAAAAATTGGGTTGCCTGCCTTTTTCTGTTTACTACTATTGGGTTGCCAGGTACAGAGTGGTTATAAATGATTTTCATCTAGCCAGCTTTGGAATTTTCTTGCATGTAACTTTATTTATGCCGCTCGACTTTTTTGAAAGCTCTAGTTCTGTCATTAGTGTCACTTATTAATTAATAATAAATTGTTGTTAATTAAACTGATATTGTTTCAACTAATTTCCAATAATAATTGATAATAATGTATATTTTGGAAGAAAACAAGTTTATAATTGAAGTCTATTTTCGAAGTGGACGCGTAGTAAACGGTGATTTTTTAATTTTGAGTTAAAACAATAAGTAGGTATCCCTATTTTCGTAAAGCGGCATTTTTTATTTTACATGTAAAATTCACAGCTGGCTAGATGAAAATAATTTATAACCACTTTGTATAAACAGGTAAGTCAATGTAGTAATTTGCACCGATCTGCTTGCGAAATAAATTATACCAGGTGAATAAAAAGTATGGAACCAAACGTTTTTTGCTTAAACTATTTATTTCTTGAAAAAACTAATTAATGAGTGATAAAGTACTATAAAAATGTGATGATTTAACAAGAATAAATTTTTTCGAAATTTCCTTTTGTTTTTGAGTTCTACAAAAAAATATTTTTTTAAATGGCAACCCATTATAAAATCATTTTTCTCAT